GGTGTTGTGATAAGATATCTGTATACTTTATATGAATCTCGTCTGGTTGAATAATATGGTGGATAAAGAATCAAATCTTCCGTCGCCGTCTTCCATTTCTGCCTTTGTCCGTCCGTTTTGATGGCTTGTCTTCGTCCTCCACCCATTCTGTACGAAATCTACAGGTTTGCTTCGAATCAATCTCGCAATGTTGTTATTTGTTTCATACTGTTAGCTTTCTATGCACATCAATGGTGAAAAACGGTTGTTATCATTTTCACAGTTTCTTATTACATTTTATTTCTATATAGCAGTTGTAAAGTTGTTCTGCATATTCCACCTCAGTTTCTTATTACATTTTATTTCTATATCAGACTTTGACTTACATTCACACTACATTGTTACATTTTGTTTCGGTTTTGACTAATACGAGTGTTGAGTAGTTTGTTTCGGTTTTGATACAAGATTAACATTTTGTTTAGGTTTGATATTGTTTCCACTATTTTGATACAACTTTGGACATCTTGTATTTGCTGCTTTTATTTTGATGCAAGTTGAGCATATAGTTTTTTGCTTTGATTCGATGCTGAATATGTCCAATGCCATGTAGAAATTTGTTAAAGAGTTAACAAAGTTAGAAATTCTAGTAAAGTTAGTTGTTAGGATGCAATTAAATTGAATTAGATGTTAGTGAAGTATTAGTTGTGAAAATGGAATGTTGTTGTCGTTGATGTTAAAATGGAATGTTGTTATTGATGTTAAAATGGAATGTTGTTGTTGTTAGTGTTGTTGTTGATGGAAAAAAATAATGTTAATGATGTTGTTGTTAGTGTTGATTCTAATGATATTGTTGTTGATATTGTTGACGGAAACAAATGAATTAATTTCGTATATAGTTAATGTTATTGTTGTCGATGGAAACTTGAATTAAAGTAAATAAATTATTGTTGTTGATGTTATTGTTGTTGATGAAAGTAAATGAATTATTTATGTCTGTTAATTTTGATCGTTTCCAAGAATTATTTAATGTTGATGATGTTATTAATTTTGTCTGTTATAGGGGTTACCTGTGTAGAGCAAGATTGTGATCGTTTTCAAGAATCCTACTGTGTAGTTCTAGAAGTTGGTGATTTCTCTACAGGTGCTACAAGTATTCGCTGTTTTTGTTTAGCTTTCTTAGTTTAGTTTAACCTACTTAATTAGTATGGATAAAAAATGGATGTCTTCTAATCGATTGTCAAAAGAGTACGAGAATGAGGTATCAAAATTCGTTAAGTTTGCTGTTGAACAGGCCAAAGACCCCAGTAGGATCACATGTCCTTGCTTAGGTTGTTGTTATGGGCGTCGGATTGACGCAGTTCAGTTGGAATCTCATTTAATGAGACATGGAATTGATCGAAGTTATACATGTTGGACATTACATGGTGAGATAAGTAACGAGAATGTTGAACCGGAGGATAATACGACCTAGATACTAGCGACAAAAATAGTATCAATTGTCCGCAGAACCTTCCAGAGGTAATTGTATATATTACATTGAAATTAATTTAGCACAATTTTCTTAATTGACACATTAATCATATTCATTATTTGTTTAGGGCATTTCACCTTGCCGGCTATATTTATCGTTACCGACTTATTGCATGGTTGGCAAGGGAAAAATGCATAACACGTTGGGAGACTTACTTCACCATAAACCGCTCCCTGGTGGATTTTTGAAAGTATCGGTTCATATTGCGTTAGAGGGGGGTGCGTTGTTGCCTATACCAGATGATGTTTCTGACGCAACAGTGGTGGGAGACGCAATAGGATTGTATGTTACATGGCCGTCAAATCTCATTTTCATAGATGATGAGGTAGGTTGAACACCATTATGAAGTATTCAAATATTTTACGACCCATACATGAAAGTTATTCTTACATTTACATTTACTTATTTACATGATGATCTTAGACTCCTACAAAATCCAAATCAAAAGATAAGGGAATTATTGTGCGGGAAACTGATTCAGCTGCATAAAAAAAAGGTACTATTACAGTTACACGATGATCTTATTATACATTAATTACTGAATTTATATGACTTTTAGGTTCATGATCAACAGTTGCAACAAGTCAGCAAGGGTAAGATGCCTGAATCTAGCAAGGTGCCCAACAAAAAAAAGGCCGAGCCAAAAAAATCATATGTTCCTCGATTTAGGTTGTGCCTTGAAACATGTGTAGGAACAACAGATATGGCTGAGGGTGGCATCCGTCAAATACCTATGCAGGAAGGTATTTTCGGTTTTGAATATGCTGAAACAATTGCCAAGGAGGATTTGGACCAAATTTTCCAACATTCTGAATTGGGCATGGGTATTATGCATTCCTACATCAGGTAGTACCCCCGATCAATTTTAATTAAATAATTGAACAATTTATTTGCTCATTTTAATGAATATTCTAATGTTGATTATATTTTTAGTTAAGGTTATTGTATGACAAGATGTTGGTCCCGCATGATTTAACTTCAAGATTCGCATTCTTATCTGCTAGCTGTATCAACGCACGGTCAATCAATCACACTCCAGATGTAGTCAGATTTTACATAGTCAAATCATTTATGGCCGCAGATACAGAGAAATTGTACTCTTTGCCATATAATAATGGTCATGGGTTAGATTTCATTCTAAATTCATTCATTATAATTATTCATTTTTTGCCATTCTATATAACATTTTCGTCTAAACTTTTGTCTTATTTTACAGTGGACACTGGTTGTTGGTCGCGATTAATCCGATGAAAGAAATAGTGTATTATCTGGATTCATTGGATGGTGATCAAACAAAATATCCTGATATGAAGACTATGGTTGATACGTAAGTGATGAGATATACTGTTATGAATAATTATCTTTATTTATTATATGAGATTGTTCTAAATATTCATTTATATTATGTTAGAGCTATACAAATATTTCGATCGCAAAGAAAAGCAACAGTGCCAAAAAGGAAGGCTAACAACATTAGCTGGATTAGAGTGCAGGTATATTTTCACATTTTTGACTGTTATAGTGATTCTACTTGATAAAACTATTTAAATTATATATCTTGATAAATGATCGTTTGTTTTTTTCCATTTACAGTGTCCTCGTCAGCGCAATGGGATTGATTGCGGATATTTTGTATTGCGCTTTATGAAGGAAATTATTCACTCGGGTCAAATAGATATTCCAATCATGATATGGATCAATTCATAAGTTATATGATTTATCTTAATAATTAACCGATATTTCATCTGAGTAATTAGTTTTAAAACTAAATCGTACATGTTCTGTTATATTATGTAGTACTTTGATGAATTCAAGTGTGGTACTTACTCGAAAGCAGGATTGGAAGAAATTAAGGAGGAATGGTGTCAATACATTCTTGAGTTGAGAATTGTATAAGGTATATGTATCGTCAAATATTGATGCGGCATAATAATATTTCTGAAAGTCGTATGTATTTGTAAAGTTATCGGTTTTGTAATTATATGTAAATTGACTGTATTTGTGAAGTTGTTCTGAGGATCGGCTTGTGTTGAATTATATATAAGCAGGTTTATGTGAATTACAATGATTAAGGCCAAAGTGTTGAATTACAATGTATATATAAGGCCAAAGTGTTGAATTAAAGACCTGAATTATAAGCAGGTGAATATAATTATTATAAGTAGGTTTATCGAATCCATAATCAATCCATAATCATAAATAATCCATAATCATAACCAATCCATAATCATAAATAATCCATATGTTATAACCGGTTATTATCAATTGTAATAACGGGTTTTCATTTTTGTAAAATGATTATAAACTAGTTATTAATTGGTTATATCCATAACCAATTTTATAATTAGTTTTTATTTAATTTTATTAATCATTTTTTTAAAACTTCTATTTTAAGAAAAAACATTTATGTTCAAAAATAAAAAATATTTTTTTTTATTTAAAAAAACTTCTTTTTTAATTTTTCAGTATTGTTTTAATTACTAAAAAAAAATTTAAAAAAAAAATTTAAAAAGAAAATAGTTTTTTTTTTGAAAAAAAGTTTTTGTTTCCAAATTTTTTTATAAAATAATTGATTAATTTAGTTTTTATTTTGGATATGGAGTCCAAATTATAAATTTGTTTAAAACCATATTAATAATATATCTAAAATATGGATTTGATTAAAATCGTACGGATAATTAATCGGTTTTTAATCGCAGAATTTACATATAGATATATATAATTTAAATAACCGATTTATTTAAGCATCCCTACCATTACGTGGGATGAAAAGTACCATTACGTGGGATGAAAAGGATAGACTATGCGATTCATGTTAGATTGGTTTTTAAAGATGGAAAGGTGTTGTGATAAGACATCCGTATACTTTATATGATCACGTCTAGTTGAATAATATGGTAGATAAGGAAACAAATCTTGTTCATGATGCGATTGTAAATGCAAGCGAAATTTTTCATAATTCACCATTCTTAATGGTGGTTAGAGTTATGCTTCTCTAGAAAGGTGAAATGTAATTACTAGGAATGGCTTAAGACTCCCGCAAATTTTTTGTAGGCCTTTGTGCTTTATATGTAGGAGGTTATGTTTTGGTGTGTATGTCGGAGACTTTGTTATGTGGATTGAAGTGTTGCTTATAAAAAAAAGATTTAACCATATTCTAATTTCTGTAGTCGAAGGTTAATTGAATAAAAAAACAATTTCATATGATATAGGAGAATATTTCTAAGCCCAGCAAAATTCACCTGCATCAAAAAATTGTTAGTTGAGCGACACAATCCCATAAGCATTGATGTCGTGTTTGGTGTCGCTGATAAAAAACAACTTTTTTTTAGAAACAAAACCTTTTGTTGAGGAGTGCTATGTTTACACCAAAATATTTACACGGTATGTGTACACCTCGTATATGTAAAAGAGAAAGAAGAAAAAAAACAATTACATTCTGGGATATGTTACATGCATGTAAAGGGTGAAATCAGAGAGACTATTCGGATCAAGCACTAATTCCATGTCCAGGGTTTTGTTTCGATGATCCCGAGTTGGCTACATGAAACTGTGATACATACTTGTTTGAAGAAGTTTCCATCACCGGAGGTTCATTCAAAAATGCCCAGTTGCTCTTCGTCCACCTGCACTCATTCAATGCAACCATATTCAAATTAAAGACATCCATAACAAATTTTCTATTTAAAAGTATTTCAACTTACCAGCCATTTTTGTTGATAAGCTGCTCCAAATTGTTGTTAACATCCATGCCTAATGTCTTCTTCATGCGTAGGGCCAAGGGCACAGTATCCTCGTACTTTCCAGGCTGTCGAATTCAATATCAATATAATTTCATAGTGACAAACATTAGTAGAAATGTGAATTTCAAAGTGAAACCTGAATAGTCTTTGATAAATTTGAAATAGCCTTGAGGTGTTCTTCCTCTGTGTCCTTCTTTGATTTCCAGAAAGCATCGATTTCTTCTTTGGTGAGTGATCGATTCCTTTCTAGCGATGAAGATGAGGTGTTAGAGTCCCATCCTGCCATAAGAGAACCCATTGTTGCTCAACTGTTTTCCAATGTCTTTGTATATAGTTGACCTGTTTCTGAGTTTGATGATAACGAACGGTGTTATAATAGCAATATATATAAGTGCTTGTGTAGTGACGAAGCTCCTATAGTTTTCAAACTTTGCTCTTATCTATTTATGATATTTTATCATGAAAGTGTCGTATTCGGCTGCTGAGGTATGTTGATAAGGTTGATTATGCGATAACGACAAATATCTGTTTATATGAATATTTTAAGGTTTCAGGTTCAAGTTGAAGCAACCCACAGATTTGGAAAACAAGGAGTGATTTCACCTCGGTTTCTAAAACCTCTGCTGACGTGTTCTTTTGAGAGAAAAAAAAACTTGTAGACACATCGCATATTGATTTTGACACGTTATCCAAAACCTCGAACGTATTCGGATTACTTATAGATTTTCTTTGTGTCAACCTACATTTTTATGGAAAGTATTTAATGGATGAGATTAAAGATACTACATTAGTAGGAATTTATCATCCGATAAAATTATAACATTCTATCATGTCATATTAGTATTTTAAAATTAAATATGTTATTTTAGCGGGATACACATTCATAATTTGTTAAGGAAGTCATGAGAAGTGTGAAAAAACAAGGCTTATATATTTTTGAGGTTGAGATTGTAAATGATTCAGAAGATATGACATCCACGAAATCTATGTCGAAGACTGAACTATGGCACAAAAGACTTAGTCATATCAGTGAAAGAGGTTAGGTCGAATTGTCGAAACAAAATTTGTTGCGTGGTGACAAGGTCAAAAAACTGCAGTTTTGTGAACCTTGTGTATTTGGTAAATCTTGTAAAATGAAGTTTAACAAAGGTAAACAAAGAACACATGAATCTCTTGATTACATTCATGCTAATCTTTGGGGACATGTAAGGAATCCTTCTCACTTAGGTGCAAAGTATTTTTTATCCATAATTGATGATTACTCCAGAAAGTTATGGGTATTCATCCAGAAGACTAAGGATGAAACTTTTGAAAATTTCAAAAGTTGGAAGACTCTGGTCGTAAACTAAACTAGTAGGAAGATCAAGAGGTTGAGGACCGATAATGGTCTTGAATTTTGTAATGAGGCTTTTGAAAGCTATTGTAATGCGTCTAGTATTGCAAGGCACATAACTACTGCAGGGACTCCTCAACAAAATGGTTTGGCCGAAAGGTTTAATCGAACCATTCTAGAAAGGGTGAAATGCATGTTGGTAAGTGCGGGATTAAAGAAGGTGTTTTGCGGCGAAGCTGTTGTAACTGTAGCATATTTGATAAATAAGTGTCCCTCGACAACCTTGAAAATGAAGACACCTGAAGAAGTCTAGTTGTGACATCCACCTAGTCTCGACAAACTTAGAGTATTTGGTTGTTTAGCCTATGCTCATAGTAGGCAAGACGAGGTCGAACCTAAAGCTTTCAGATGTATGTCCCTTGGATACCCTGAAGGAGTCAAAGCTTATAGGTTGTGGTGCCATGAGCCAGGACGCAGGAGGTGTATCACAAGTCAAAATGTAGTTTTCAATGAAGTTGAGATGACTTTCAAGAAAACTGATGACATTGAACGAATTTCGAAGATATCTGGAAAAGAGCTGGAACAAGAAGAGATTCCTATTGAGGTGGAGTATAATGATGCTGAATTGCATGACTCACATGAAGTCGAAGAAGATGTAGAAGCTACTGTCGAAGCTGAGGAGACAGATAATGGTTGCCTATTGGAAATAGATAGGTTGTTTCTTTAATGAAAGTATCAATTTCAATGATGTGTTCTCACATGTTGTAAATCATAGATCCATTAGAATGATGTTAGCCATGGTGGCGAAGTTCGACCTAGAACTTGAAAATATGGACGTGAAGACAACCTTCCTGTATGGTGATCTAGATGAAACAATCTCGATGAGGCAACTTGAAGGGTATGTAGAAAAGAGAAAGGAAGAGATTTACAAGTTCATGGCAAACATTGGTTTCACTAGGTGTCAGTTTGACCACTGTGTTTACTCAGATTTCAACCTGGAAATTAACTTGTTATTTTGTTACTTTATGTGGATGACATCCTCATAGAAAGAAATAGTGTTGAAGATGTTATGAAGGTGAAATCTGAACTCAATAAGGAGTTTTACATGAAAGATTTGGGAGCTTCGTCCAGAATTCTTGGGACTAACATCTGGAGAGATAGAAAGTTGTCGAGATTATGTTATTCTCAAGAGGCATACCTAAAGAAGATTCTCGACAAGTTTAGTATGTCGAACTCAAATCCTGTTCTAACACCGACTAATCCTCAATACAAGTTGAGTTTGACTTAAAGTCCTAGTATTGAAGTCGAAAGAGTTTATGTGAATAGAATTTCATATGCTAGTATGGTAATTTCTTTGTTGTATGACATGGTATGTACGAGGCTAGACATAACATACGAAGTGAGCCTTCTAAGCATGTATATGGCCAATCCTAGGGAGGCGCACTGTCAAGCATTAAAGTGGATTCTTAGGTACATAAATGGGTCTCTGAGCAGAGTCTTGATTTATGATGAAGCATGTGGTGATGATAGCAAAGTCGAAATCGAAGGATTTGTCGACTCTGATTATGCAGATTGTACGGATTCTAAAAAATCTATTTATAGATATGTGTTCACTATGTTTGGCACAATAATTAGTTGGAAAGAAACACTTTAGAAGGTTGTTTCCTTATCAACCACTGAAGCAGAGTATATCGTCCTCACTAAAGCTGTGAAAGAAGCATTATGGCTTGAAGGTTTTGCTAAGAAGCTAAAAATTCAAGGTCAATTTATCATTATTAAACGTGACAGTCAAAGTTTAATACACCTTTCAAAGAACTCAACCTATCATGAGCGAATCAAACACATCCATTTGAGGCTGCATTTTTTCATATAGATGATTGAGTGTTAAAAAGTCCAAGTGCTGAAGGTTTTGACTTATGACAATGCTACTGATATGATCACCAAGATATTTCCATGTAGCAAGTTTTTCTACTGTATGCAATTGATAAAGTTGCATGATAAAAGCTAGTTTGTCCCATTGTTAGTGTATAGTTTGTTCCAAGGTGGAGATTTGTGGTATTTGGATCGAATTCTAGTATCGACAATGGCAGCGTTATAGTTCGACACGAGTTGTGCATGTTGTAGTCGAAGTCTGTTCTATCACACTATCGAAATATGTTATGTGTTTAAGAGAGCATGTCGAATTAGGCCTTGCTTGTAAGCCCAATTGTTAAGTTAGCTTAGTAGTCCATAAATAGACTAGTTCTCTCAGGTTGTTAAGAGAGATCAGTTGTTGGCATTCGCTTGTAATCTTTGAATCCTTATTGAGTAAGTGAATATTAAAATAGATTTAACCAAATCTTCTTCTTCTTCTTCCTTCTTCTTTATCTTTTGTAAAACCTAATAGCGTTTCTTGTGTTTGCTCAAAAAATTTAATCTTTTTCTCATATTTTGGTTTGTTCTTGACAACATCAATTCACACAAAAATTCCTTAGAACACTTTTAATTTCTATTCATTTGTGACAAAATAACCCATCATCTCGATATATGAATCACTTAATCTCAAAATGTTTAGAAATGTTCTCAACTGTTAGATAACTTTCAAATATCTCAAATCATCTTTGCATGAAAATCCATATAAGTAATACACGAATTTCAAGTAGATTGTTAGAAAAGCCTACGATTTTTTTAAAAGCAAAAGCTTCAACTTATACAATAAACTAGTAAGGCAAACTCCACAAATCTCCATATTGCTTTGAAATTGATGTTGAAGTCAAATTAACCATCAGTCACAATGGTGTTCTTTTCATGTTTGAGTCATTATTCAAAAAAATTGATCAACTCTAAGCAATATTTGAACATTGACTTAGATAATGACTTGATGAACACACTCTCTGGATTATCTTCCAAAATAATTTTTTCTAATACAATCTCCCTCTACTTGAACATGTCTATAATAAAGTGCAAACAAATTTCAATGTCGTTTGACAAACGCAATGTATATTCACACAAGTTTAAGTGATTCATAACTCTCCAATAATACCTCTTAACTATACAACTTCTTTGACCCCTTCAACTGTTATATATTTTGCTTGAGTTTCAGATTAAACAACTATCTACTGTTGATTTGCTTCCCAATTTATAGTTTTTCCAAACAACGTAAACACAAAATGCTACAAGGATTATCTATTCTCCACATTTTCTACATAGTTTGCATTCACAAAACGCTTTAAAACATACTTCTATTGATCTATCTTTATAAAATTCAAACCACTCTTCAATAAACTATTCAAATACCTCAACATCTACTTCAAAGTTTATCAATGAGTCAACCTACAATTTCTATAAACTGACTTAATATTCTAATGACATATGCTAAGTCTGATTAGCTACAAACTATATCATACACGACGTTTCCAACCCATTTTCGTAGGGAATAATCTCCATTGTCTTCATCTCAACAGTTATTTAAGGACATTACATAACCCAAAGATTAGTATGATAACCCAAAAGAGTGTTACTAATTTTAGCACCAAGCATTCTAAACCGCTACACCTTTTTCTAAAAGTTATTAGACTGAGACAAGAACAATTCACTTCTTTCAAGGTTTCTCATGATATTCATATAAAATTCTCTATCCGAAGTCTACTTGAAAAAACTGACCTCTTCCTTACTTAACCTTGACAACAAGATATCAGCAACATATATATATAAGTAGATAAACAACTTGCTAGTTCTTCTTCAGTATGTATACACAACTATCATAAATAATTCTCATAAAACCATGCTTAAGAAGAAACCTATCAAACTGATGATATCATTTCATAAGGACTTATTTCAACACATACAAAGATTTCTTAAAAAGGAACACCTTAGACTTGTCCACTACAAAAATGATGAATTCTCAGAAAATGTACTGATAACGTCGCAGTAATAAAAAGATCGAACCTACAAGGGCTGTGTTCGAACAACACAAGATTTGTGCAATTCAAAGTAAAATAGTAAAGAAAGTGGGGTTGCAAGTTTCAGTGCAAAAACAATGTCACGAAAGCGACCAGGTTGTGTATTAGAATTCCTTTATCCTTTGTTGTTGATGTATGATGGCTTGTATGAATGGTCTTATCCTTATAATCTCACGACGAATTAACAAAACCGTTATAGCCAGTCCCCCACAAAATAACTCACTAACAACTACTCAGAGCTTTCTATTCCTAGTTTGCCAGCGTAAGCAGTGTTAGATGATATACAGACCGTTATTTCCTGATGTCACTCCTCAGAGTCTCCTATCCCTAGTTAACCAGCGTAAGTAGAACAGTTGCCCTGGATCCAACACATAGGCTGCGGGTAAGGAATCCCTATCTGTCCAATATCAGATTAACATAATATCTCAAATAAAAAGCATTCTAAAATTTGACGATGATTACAGTTATGCTGATGGAAAATCTACTTCAATGAAAAAAGTGGTGGCTTCTCATTGACCCAGGTTACAGTGAACTAGAGGCAGGGTAAAAGAAACTGTGAGAGCAGATCTAAAACTAAAATATTTGAAGGTTAAAAATTACTCATTCTCAGCCGTCGACAAGAGAAGTTTGAAGACAATCCTTTAGAAGAAGACTATTCAACAAAAACGAGATTCAATGAGGATGAAGTGTCAAGGGACTAAAAGGGTGCATATATCACAACTGCAAGCATTTCAAAGGAAGTTTAAGTTCTTGGAGATGAAGGAAGATGAGATGGTCACATAATACATTTCTCGGGTAATGTTGGTCGCGAATAACATGTGTAATAATGTAGAGGACATGCAAGACGTCAAGATTGTGGAAAAGATATTGTGAACTCACACTGAGAGATTCAATTACATTGTAGTATGTATTGAAAAGGCAAAAGTACAAAGCAAGGTTAATTGCTAAAAATTGACTATACAAAGGTATTTGTACCAGTTGTTCGGATGGATACAATCGGACTCATTCTAGCAACTGCGACATAGAATAAATGGGAAGCGTTTCAAATATAGGTGAAAAGTGATTTTCTTCAAGGAGATCTTGAAGAAGAAGTATATGTACAAAAACCTATGGATTTTGAGAAACATGGTGAATGGGATAAGGTGTACAAGCTAAATAAAGCATTGCATGGATTCAAATAGGCACCAAGAGTATGGTATACTTAGATCAAAGCATACTTTTCTCATGAAGGATTTAAATGATGTTTTTGCGAACATACACCGTTTACAAAAGCAACGGATGGTGGTAAGATTTTAATTATGAGTCTTTATGTAGATGATTTGGTTTACATTGGAAATGATAAAATTATGGATAGAAATGATGCATGAGTTCGAGATGTCTGACTTAAGTAGAATTGTTAGGGGAGTTTTTCAACTAAGGATCATTGAACATTGCGAGACTTCTTTTTTAGCAACACCTTTGTGAGAGATACACTACATATTCACCCAAAACCTTAGAGTGTGTTTGGATGAAACATTTTAATGAAGAAAAGTAATTTTTTGAGGAAATTTAAAATGACTTGACCAAATCCATTGTTTGGATAAAAATATAGAGAATTGTTAAAGTTATGTAAATTTATGAAGTATTTTATTCAAGTTAAATTTAAGGAATTTCAAATGACACCAAAAGGTAAAAAAAAGGCTAAATATTCTTTTTGGTCTCTTAATTATATCCTTAGATTCAGATTGGTCCCTTAATTATTTTTTGTGTTAGATTGGTCTATTGACTCTTTAAAACGTGTCATATTGGTCATTTTCATCTAATTAGCGACGAAAAAAATTCACTGTTTTCATCTAATATAACACGTTTTAAATAGTTAATGGATCAATCTGACAAAAAAAAATAATTAAGGGACCAATCTGAACCTAAGAATAAAATTAAGGGATCAAAAAGGGTATTTTGCCTTTAAAAAATTTGAAAATGCTTCTTCAATCTATATAATGCAAATGTTAAATTGTTTATTATTATTTTCAAATTTTGCATGATGCTCCTAATATTTTATAAAAATTTTAAATTCATACCCAAACTTTTTAAAATTTATAAACAAGTCTCTAATAACTTTCAAATTTTATAAATTAATTCCTTCAAATTTTTATAAATTACAAGGTCCTTATTTTATATTTTAAATTTGGCCTAAAAGTTTTAAAATTTATGAAAATGACCCCAAATATTTTACAATAAATCATTTTAATATTTCATTTAAATAAAAGAATTTAAAAATAAATAAATTTCAATTGAATCATTTAAAATGTTTAAAATTTTAAATTTAAAAAAAAAATTCAATTAACTTATTCAAACACACTATTAGACACATCACATATTCATCCATCTTAACCTGATAAATAGATAGGTAAGTTCTCTTACTTATGAATATTTAAGTCTCTATATTGTTAAGAAAAATGAAATACTTCTTGGAAGTTGAAATAATTTAAACTAAAAATGAAATTTTCATATGCCAGCAAAAATATGCTGGAGAAGTGTTAGCTCGGTTTGGAATGGAGAATAACAATGTAATGGGAAATTCTATTGTTCCAGTAAAAGTCTTTTCATAGATGAAGAAGGGCGAAACTGAAATGAATTTTACTTTTAAATTAAAAGTACATATGGTTTAATCTTTTTGCAGACCTAGTAGTATTCTCCTCTAATATAATCACCCAGTCGCTTCAATTCTCCATCTTGTTGCTCTGTCACTGCTCGCACAACATCTACTATTGAAATCATGCCAACTATTTTCCCATCTATAACTGGAACATGCCGAATGCGATTTTCTACAGTACAGGTAAAAAGGGTCACACATAGTTCTTCAATATTTGGTCACATTAAACATTGTGTGTATGGAATAGTTACCTAACATTAGTCTCATTGCTCTTAGAATGTTTGTGTCAGAGGTCACGGTTACCAAGTCATTCTGTTATATATTTGTAACTATATCAGTTGAAAGTGAAAACGATGGATTGGATTAATCATAATGAAAATGAGAGAGCATATAAAATAACCTCATTAGTCATTATTTGACCGACTCGCGTGTATAAAGGCGATCTTCCTTGTGCAACTATTTTCTTCAAGCAGTCTGCAGAATCATGCATACATGAAGCCAACAGAGATTCACTTTAGTTTGTTGTGTCTATTCATGCATGTCGTATTAGTACCATTTGACGCTAAATTAAACTTATTATAATGAATAACGGCTAATGAAGTCCACACTTCGACATAACATCTGACACATAGGACACTGACATGACACCGACATATATGTAGGAACACGAAACACCTACCTCTTTCTGTGACAATGCCTGCTATGTCTTGGCCCTCGGGCTTCAGTACCACCAATGATCCAATATCATATTCAGCCATCTATAATATCATTATATATTCGTTCATAAATCTTTTACTACTCTGGTCATTATTATAAGCAAATGTTCTGTTTTCGACCATTTGAATCTGACAAAAACTATATAAGAACAAATTGAAAAACTATCTTACGTTCCTCATTGCGTTAATAACAGCATCATCAACTCTACACCACAGCCAGGAACCCACTTTTTCTTCCCCCTTTGTCATCAGTACCTCTGACACTGTAACATTCTCCAACCCTTTCTGCTGCATGGGTGGATAGGATGTGATAAATCCAAAGCCTGAAGATATTTTGTTCAGGTTAAAGATTCCATTCCCGTGGAATTGTTGAAATATCGCAGCCCTCGGAGGATTGCGATAAGGTCGCAGTATCCGGTAAATCCCTTGCATTGTTCTATTATTCACTTATTCTAGTTCTGTTCAATCAAAATTTAAATAACTGTTAAATACTTTTCTTGAGGGAGAATACAAAGAAAGGAACTTCACTTTATGGTTTCTTGCACATAGAATTGCCAAACTTTTTGGTTGATGAATTCAATTGAATATGCAAGGAATTTCTTTTGTAACAAGCAACAGAAATTTCTTTCCTCTCCAACAAGATTTAAGAATGCTGTTATGCATCTAAGGTATATATTCTTAGTTCCGAGTATATAAACGAACAAATCATCCAACCTTTTTTTTCATGTGACAGAAGATAAATTATCAAACCAAACATTATCGATGTCAGGAATAAAAAAGAAGCAATTTCGCTTTAGAATCCCGTGGATATCAGGTTCTTTTTCCACGAGATCTCCGTTTCATCGAAAACAAAGATCAAAATCTTTTCCACAATTAGCCTATGGCCCAACACAGCCTCTTCCTACTCCAATTTCTGAACCTCAAACAACTCTAGAGAGAAAAGTGATGTTTGCGGTCTCAACATCAAACCCTAGTGAAAATAACATCGAAGTACCTGCAATACCGGTCACCACAACCGTATCAAATTCCCCCAAGCAAAAAGGTTCCATGAGTATGAACGATGATGTAACAAATCTTGTTAATAGAGTAGCTACTGTGAATCCAACAACACTGCTTCCAACAGATGACAAAACAGTTAGTATTGTAACTCTAGCCGGAGACAACAGAGGCGCAACAATGCATGTTGCAGGTTCACAGTCCCAATCAACAAGGAAAAAAGGCTCAATCCAAAACATACACAAATCCAACGAGAAAGAAGATAAAGATGAAGCAGGAAAAGCATATGTTAACAGTAACATACAGAGTATGAATAATTCATTCCTGATTGAAGGTTCAGTAACCGGACGAGACCCTGGCGTTCGTGTCATTCTTCCCCAACAGCCTCAGCCACAGCCACAGCCTCAACCTCAGCCTCAACCACAGCCTCAGCCTCAGGTTAGCCGGGTAGAGAAGTTAACTTACCAGCCACTTGTTAGAAGAAGATGCCTGAGAGGACTTATGGTGGAACCAAGTGATTCTGATCCTGAGAATCCTGATAAACCTCGACGTCATGGATGCAAATTCAGTTGTGGAGATGTTAGAAAAGATAAGGATAAAGTGCTTCTGTAGCGAAATTATTAACACAAAAATATTATCTATTGTTATAATCCACTTGAGATATCATAGCAGGATTTTGATTTTTCATGTTGAAAACATCCAAACTATGTATTGTTAATTTTATTATTTACAGTAAGTTAACTTGCAACTGTCTCTGGTCTAAGGAGAATAATTAGAACAAGAGGATAACATAGGGATCATCATATTTAACTAACTAGTAGCAACAAAAACTACATGTTAAGAATATAGACAACTTTTTCATAAGAAAAATAATATATTTTGAAGTAACTGTTAGAAATCAGATTTTAACAAAACTACAAAAGTGAGTGGAGGAATGTGTTTTATTCGATTAATCAGTGACTAATATATAGTCATCTTACAAGCAAAAGGAAATAACTAACTCTACTCTTTACATGCCTACAGAGCAGTAAAATAAATAACAAACCCTATTTCTCCTAAAGAATAGGTCTTATTCAAACAGACTAATAAAATAGTAGACTAAAACAAATACTAAAACACTAATACGTGTCCATCTAACATTCCCTCCCTTAAACTAAAACACATGTATTTTAGTTTAACTCCGACGTACTAACCATTCCAAGCATACCACGGAGTTTTTCAAACTGTTCAAGTTTGAGTGGTTTTGTCATCAAGTCTGCTACTTGCTCCTGTGAGTTGCAGTACTTTAATTCTACAACACCTTCATTCACTAAATCTCTTAAAAAATGAAACTGCACATGAATATGCTTACTTTTTCCGTGAAAAACTGGATTCTTAGCCAACTGAATGGCAAAGCTGCTGTCACATTGAATTATAGTTCCTTCAACCTGCTCCACTCCAATCTTTCTCAAGATTCTCTTTAGCCATATATACTGACAAGCACATAGAGCTGCTGCGATATATTCGGCCTCGGTAGTTGATAAAGTCACTACAGGCTGCTTTTTTGACGACCAGGATACAGCTCCAGATCCTATCATGAACACATATCCAGATGTACTTCTTCTATCATCAAGATCACCCGCATACCCACTATCTGTGAATGCCAAGAGTTTTGAACAACCTTCATTATTTGTGTAGAAAATGCCTAGCTTAGTTGTCCCTTTTAAATACCTCAAAATTCTTTTGGCTGCCAACCAATGTGACATGGTTGGTCTAGACATGTACCTGCTTATGAGACTTACACCATACATTAAGTCAGGACGAGTTATAGTTAAATACATGAGACTTCCAACCATTTGTTTGAACATTGTTGCATCAACTTTAGTTCCTCCTTCATCCTTTGACAACTTTGTTCCAGGTACAATTGGATTTTTCACACTATTGCTATTTTCCATTTCAAATCTTGCTAACACTTCTCGTGCATACATTCTTTGACAAATAAAAATACCATTTGAATTTTGCAGCACTTCCATTCCAAGGAAGTGTCTCATTCTTCCTAAGTCGGACATATCAAACTCTATCATCATTGACTTTTTAAATTCCATACACATGCTCACATCATTTCCAGTAAATATTAAGTCATCTACATAAAGGCTAATTATTAAAATTTTACCTCCTTTTGACTTGGTGAACAAAGTATGCTCACTCGAACATTTCTCGAAGCCTTCACGCAGAAAGTAAGCCTCAATTTTGTTGTACCACGCCCTTGGCGCTTGCTTAAGGCCATATAGAGCCTTTTTTAGCTTGTAAAACTTCCCTTCTTCTCCCTTCTTAACAAACCCTTCAGGTTGTTGTACAAATACTTCCTCCTTGAGTTCACCATGAAGGAAAGCGCTCTTTACGTCAAGCTGAAAAACCTCCCAGCCACACTGTGCTGCTACTGCAAGTATTGTTCGAATGGTATCGAGCCTTGCCACTGGTGCAAATACTTCGGTGTAATCAACTCCATACCGTTGTGCATAACCCTTAGCAACCAATCTCGCTTTATGTTTCTCGACATCCCCATTTTCATTAAGTTTGGTCTTAAAGACCCACCTAACTCCAATAGGCTTGGCATCCTTAGGCAGATCCATCAATTCCCATGTTTGGTTCTTCTCTATAGCTTTCATTTCTGATTCCATAGCCTCTTTCCACTTCTTGCTTTTGACTGCCTCTGCAAGTGAAAAAGGATCATTCTCTGTTACCATCATCATTGCATGCATATCTTCTTCTTCTTCTGAGAAACCTTCTCCTGTTTCATAGTCTGCCATCCATACCGGTTTTGTTCTGACTCTTTCACCCCTCCCTTCATCTGCAACTTCTTGAATGTTTTCTTCATTTTGTGGTGAATAATCGGAAGTAGTATTTCTGCCCATGACCTCCACAATATTATCCTCGCCGACATGCTCTTTTTCACTTTCATTATCATCTTCTAGCACATCCAAATTCAGTTCTTCTTCAGTTCTTCCCCAATTACAGCCCTCTTCTTCTTCAAATTGAACATCGTTGTTGATGATGATCTTCTTAGTGGTTGGATCATATAATCTATAGGCCTTGGATTCATTGCTAACACCTATGAATACACACTTCTTGCTTTTGACATCTAACTTGCTCCTCTTTTGGTCTGGAATATGAGCGTGTGTTATGCAACCGAACACCCGGAAATAAGTTGCTGTTGGTTTCACTCCACTCCATGCTTCCTCTGGAGTTTTTTCTTTTACCGCTGCGGTCAGGCTCCTATTTTGAACGTGAACACGCCAATTTACAGCTTCTGGCCAAAGCACTTTTGGAACTTTCTTATCAGCTAATATTGAACGTACTGCATTCATGATTGTTCTGTTCTTTCGTTCGGCAACTCCGTTCTGTTGTGGAGTGTATGCTGCTGTCAACTGCCTGCTTATACCATGAGCTTTACAAAATTCTCCAAATTCATTTGAGTTAAACTCACCTCCTCTATCTGTTCTCAAACAAGTTATATATGCACCAACCTCTTTTTCAATAAATGCTTTGAAATTCTTGAATGCACTAAAGGCTTCTGATTTTTCATGTAAAAAATAAACCCAAGTTTTACGTGAAAAATCATCAATGAAACTTATGATATACCTTTTGTTACTGTTGGAAGCAGGTTTGATAGGCCCACACAAATCAGAATGCACGAGTTGAAGTTGCTTTGAGGCTCTCCGAGAACTTTGTTTTGGAAAGGATCCTCTATGCTGTTTGCCAACCAAACAAGTTTCACATAATTTTTCTGGAACTTTGAGCAGCGGCACACCGTCTATCATTTTCTTGTATGCAAGTGTTCTTAATCCTGTGTAATTCAAATGGCCAAATCGACGATGCCACAAGTGTGATTCTTTCTCAGAGGAAAGTTTAGCCTGAAGACACATCGAATTTTCTTTTGCTGCCATAGATGCTAACATATAAAACATTCTATTTCCACTCATGTTAGTTTGCATAATTAAACCTCTTTTAGGATGATAAACTTTACAAGTCCCTTGCTGAATTATAATAGCTAAACCCTTCTCCTGAAGTTGGCCTATGCTCAACAAATTACTTTTCAACTCAGGTATGTAAAAAACATTTGAGATTACCTGAATAATACCGTTCACTTGAAGTCGTACACTCCCTTTAGCTACCACTACCATTCTAGTGTCATTCCCAAGCTTCACAGTTTATTTAAATCCTTCCTCTAGCTCCGAGAACCATTCTTTATTTCCGGTCATGTGATTCGAACATCCAGAGTCAAGAAACCAAGCTTCTTCTATTTTGGTTTGATCAGCATCAACATAAGACATCAGCAGAACCTCTTCTCCTTCTTCTACATATTCAGCGTAGTTAGCCCGTTTCTCCCAATCAGGACACTCATATTGAAAGTGTCCCAACTGATGACATTTGAAACATTCTATAGTGGCTTTATTCATAGATGACCTCCCTCTTCCTCTACTTCGACCCCCTCGGAATGAGCCTCTGCCCCGTCGTGGCTTGTCGTCATAAGAAATTTTTAATGCTTGTTCTTCCTCCTGATTCCCATGCATTCTTTGCTCTTGAACAAGTAAACTTCCATGGAGCTCATTAACAGTCATAGTATCTATGTCATTTGACTCCTCAATTGAACATACAACATAATTGAACTTGGGAGTCAAAGATCTCAAAATCTTACCCACCACTGTGCTTTGCTTCATATCTTCTCCATTCACTTTCATTTTATTTATCACCATGAGGGTTCGTGAAATGAAGCTATCGATCTTTTCTCCTTCTTTCATAACCAGCATTTCAAACTCCTTCCTCAATGCCTGCAGCTGCGCTCTCTTTACTTTGGTTGATCCCTGATACTTCTGCTTCATCGAATCCCATATCGCCTTTGATGTTCTTTTGCCAAGAATGGTTTCCATGATCTCTCTGTCAATCGCTTGAAAGAGATAGTTCTTAACTTTCAGATCTTTGAGTTTTGTTTCTTCGACACTTTTCCTTTGAGCCTCACTTGCCGCCGAAGTCCCGATTGCTGGTGCTGGAATACCTTCATCCACCAGGTTCCACATCTCTTTGCTCCTCAAGAAATTCTCCATCAACATCGACCAATGATCATAATGGCCGTCAAATCTTGGAGTCACAAATTTCTCAGAGGTTGTCATGCTTCACTCACTCTCACACTCCTACAGCCCCTTTCGAAAGCTCTGATACCAAATGTTAGAAATCAGATTTTAACAAAGCTACAAAACTGAGTGGAGGAATGTGTTTTATTCGATTAATCAGTGGCTAATATATAGTCATCTTACAAGCAAAAGGAAATAACTAACTCTACTCTTTACATGCCTACAGAGTAGTAAAATAAATAACAAACCCTATTTCTCCTAAAGAATAAGTCTTATTCAAACAAACTAATAAAATAGTAGACTAAAACAAATACTAAAACACTAATACGTGTCCACCTAACAGTAACATCACTCAAACAGAAATGGTTTGTTAAGTTCAAATTCAACAAAACCTGAATCAAAAAAACCTGTACAAGAATGAAGGGAAAATTCTAAATAAGGTGGAGAAAACTCTATTAGAAGTGAAGGTTCTTCTGGTGAGACTAAAGATGAGAAGACGTC